CATAATATTGTCACCCAATTAAATCAACAATCATAAAAATTCATTCAACTTCCATCTTCATCTCTCAAGAAATAATCAAACCACCACCTTTACCGTCGCCGTAGCTGCATCTACCCACCATCTTCAACACCGTCGATGCGCATCACCACCGTCAAAGTCGTTGTAGCCTCCTCCTCCGTTATTCCTCCCTCCCTCCCTCCCCCTCCCCCTCCCCCCCCCCCCCCCCCTCTCTCTCTCTCTCTCTCTCTGTGGGTATATGTGATTATATGTAATGAGCGTATTTAGTGATTCATAAGTAATGAAAATTGTGGTCATGTGAGAAACAAAAAAACACACTCGTACAAACAATACAATTTTCGACGGCTAGATAATAGGGATAAAAGCAGCAAATGGAAGCAACCATAAAATTTGTAGACCAACTTTAACGTAAAAAGCAATGACTAACAAGATAAATGATAAAATCAAGAGGAGAAAAAGCAATGTACCAGGATTAATGAAGAGCATTAAGACCGTACCGGCCGGTTGATGAAAAAAAAAAGAGATGAGTTGAATATATAGATTGTAGCTAAGTTATGATTTGCTGATGAAACTTAAGTACTTGTAATAATCTTGTTTTTGAAAAACACTAGGATCGTTGAATAATGTAATAAGAATTCTAAATTTATTGAATAGGATAGGAAAACGAAGATAAGATATTATGGAGATACGGAGGAATAAGTTATAATATACTTCCTCCGTTCTAAAATAAGGTGCTTAATTCATTTAAATTAATATTTAAAGCGCGTTTTTAACCAACTGACATTCAACAATATCTCATATAATTATTTTATTAATTTTTATTTGTTAATTGGAATTTGTGGACAAAATTTTTAAGGTTTGAATATATAAAAATAAAATTAGATACTATATTGTGTTATCAAGATTATTTTGAGTATGTTTACCTCTTAAGTACAATTTTCAATATACATGGAGTAGTACTTTATAATGTCCCTACCTAGATTTTTATATATTTTTTAAGAAAATAATTTTTCATATTTAGTACAATTAATTTGTATTTTTCGTAAGACAGATAAATTTTCTCACCTATATCTGTGAACATAGCTAACGAACTATTAGTGAACCATCATGTAAATCAATGTGTTCTTGTATATTTCTCTAATCAATCAATGTTACATCTTTAATATCAAGTATAATTCAGAATTAGGATTATTTTATGTAGAAGTATACTCGTAGAGTCTTTGTTTGTTACCACATTTGGTTTCAGCTAAAGTAGTGGATCGTTACCACATTTCCACATTTAACTTTGAAAGTTCTCGGATCCCCAAGTCTAATCAATGATCTACTAGTACATGTAAATTAAAACTAATGCCAATGTTCATACAATATGTTAGTCAACTTCTAAATTTATTTAATTATTTTTTCCATAATTTTTTATTTCTTTATCATATGATACTAAATTACTAATTAAGTACGGAGTACATGGAAATATAGTTTGTAGGCATGCAGCAACGGCTCTTAAACAGAGATTCCGCAAATCCGGCTAATTATAACACATGCATGTCTTTGTAATATTATTTGTTAATAATTAAATGTGTAGTAAATGCTTATCATATTATTGTAATTGAGAGTCAAGATGTGAATGTTTGAGCTTTATGGGATCAACAGGTTGTATATTTGTTTTTTGTTTTTTTTGGTGTTTTTTGTTTTTTGTTTTTTTTTTTTTTTTTTTTTTTTTTTTGTTGTTGTATATTTTGGGAAAATGAATATTTATTAGTGGTTCGTTATATCCTAATGTATAGGAATATATATTATATTCTAACTAATTGTTTGTGTTATTGGAGCAACAAGAGTAGTGGTTTAGTGGATTTATGCTAAGCATGCATATATGATCATCATGGGATCATGTTCCTTACATTTAGCTTAGTGTTTTTTTTTTTTTTTTGGAAAAGACATTTAGCTTAATTTTGTACTATATATATGTTGCTATATAGTACTTTTTTGGGCAATCATGAGATCAAGGTTGTTCAATCTTGAGAGCCTTCCTGTAAGCTAAGCAAATCATTGCCACCATTTTAACTTATTCATTGAAGTTGATTGGCATTATTTGGAACCCTAGCTCGTGGGGTAACCAGTAAAACCACTAATTAACCTTATATGCTTATCATCCACCAAACAATCTTTTGATATGAAATTTTTTCTCTCACATATGGGAATTTCCCAACATTTTTACTGCCACAAACTTATGCGAAATTGAAAGGGAGACCTTAGCTTAGGGTTTAATTATGTGAATCTATATATACATATAAGACCATCTTCATTGGTAAGACTCAATTTTGAGTATTGAAATACAAAATGAGTTGTTTTTTACCTCCAATGGTGATACCCAACCCACTTCTCAATTTAGCAACTCATGTGAAGTCTAAATTCCCAATGGTGAGATCCTCTAAAGTATACTAATGTTACTTTAATTTCAATTTATGGTCCACCAAATCCATATTGTAAGTTTTTCAAAAAAAAAAAAAAAAAAAAAAAAAAAATTACAAAATATATTATAATATTGATAAATGGCCCACATTTTTTGTCAAATGAGACTCAAAGTTGAGTATCTAAACTTAGCAACTTTCTTTTGGAGTTGCTAAGTTTATATACCAACTTATTGGTATCCTTTGCAAAAAATACTCTCTCTCTCCTAAAAATATTCCCTTAAGTCTCACCATTGGAGATGGTCTAATACTTCCTCCATTTCTTTCTACTTGCAACAACCTTTAGGCACGCAGTTTTAGGAGATGATTAGTTAAGGTAAACGAGCGATCTTATCAAAATAATTTTAACATGAGGATTAGAGTAGGGTTAGGTATCATGTGTAAAAATTATTTTGAATAATTTATCCGTTTACATTATATAATCTCGACCTCAAAGCCCGTGCCACAAGACTGTGTTGCAAGCAAATAAAAGCGGAGGAAGTATTATATAATCTGTTAATGCCAGCGCAATGTTCACACGCATATACATGAATTAGTATCAAGCAAAGCTTGACTCACTTCATAATAGTCTTAAGTGATGAAGGTGCTTGGAGGTAAAGATCCCCTTACTTCACCCCTATTTACTAGTAATCGACCTTAAATAATGGAGCAATTAAAAAATAAAAATAAAAAAAAAACGATAAGGGTTGATCAATCTCGATTACACCGCCATAACATTTTTATTTAAAGTTTTTGATGGTCGTCATTGACCAAGCTAGATATTAAAACATATCACAGTAGAAATTGAAATGAGTTGTTTTTTAGATACTACATACATCCTCTGTCTCTATTTTTTTGCCCCACTGCAAAAAATTTGGTCAAATTTTGAAAAATTTGACCATAAATATCCAGTAATCTATAAGAGATAATATAATCAAGTGGGGGCTTATTGAATTCACCTCATTGTATGTTTTATTACTATTAGATCAAGTTTTTATATTTTTTACGCATATAAAATAGAGTTATATACGTTATAAGACGCGTCTTGATGACCGTGAAAAGTCAAATGGAGCAAAAAAAATAGGGATAAAGGGAGTATAGGTTTTACTTATATTATAAGTAGACCTAGCAAAACTAATCTAGACCTGATTACACAACCTAAAATATTCAACTCGATACCTGATTTGTACAAACCACAATCCGAAACTCGACCTAAAAGCCAAAGTGACTCGAAACCCTTCTCAACCTGATATTAATGAATTAACCTGCTATTGTCCTAATACACCCATACCTGAAGTGATCCAACCCGAGTTACTTGCTACCCAAAGTGACCAATCTCGATTTTAACCTTAATTACCCAAGCCAAGTTTACCCGTTATCCAAAATGACTAGGTAAACCTAATCAATTGACTCGACAAAACCAAATCGAAAACAACCTAATTGATCCCATTCGCCCAATTATTTTGTAATTTATATTTTGTAACATGTAAGTGTAAAAATTGCATATTTAGAGAATATATTCATTTTCTTCCTCTTCAATCGTCTTATTTATTGAATGATAATAGCTTGATGAAAACCAGCAAATGCCTGACTACTACATGATCTTTGTTTCCACAAAAATGACCTGGCATGGCCTAAACTTGACCTAAAGTCTCAACCAGAAACTTGGCCCTACCCAAAGCAATTCGATCAAAACTTAACCTAATTCAAACTTGACTTGATGTCTTGATTTCAAACTCGACTTGATCCAGAATGACCTGGCCTATTAATCCAAGCTTCACCGAAGTCTCAAGACCCAACTTGATTATATATAGACCTGAACATATTCAAAAATCAAATGAACTTCAATCCTGATCTAATGATCTAGTTGCATTGTGTTAGGATATTATATTATATTATATAATATTATTTGATTGGCCTTGATTTGTACAGTTGGTATATTATTGGCATAGGATAGATTATAGGAATATTTGGTGGTTTCCTAAAGTCTATCACTGATCTCTTTTGTACGCTATACATTTTGCATCTCACATCAATAGAAAGCAAGTTTTGCCTCATTATTGTTTAACATGGTATTAGGCTAGGTTAAATTTTTTAACAATGGCCGGCGACGATACGCGGTCACCACCTCCATCCACCACCAAAAATAGAACCAAATTCACCATTTTCTTAGGCTTGCAAGATCGTCTCGGAGATTATACTACCCCAACTAAACTCTGTGGCGACAATTATGATGATTGGGCGTACGATTTACAATTGGCGTTAGAGGCACGCCAAAACTTTGAATTTCTTGATGGAACCATCACTGGTCCGACACCCCCATGAACTCAATCAGATTGGAATACCATAAATGCAATGTTAGTTTCTTGGATGATGAATACAATTGACCCCAATTAAGGTCAAGAGTACGCTGACGAAATATAGGGAGACGAAGAAATTATGGGATTATCTTAGGTAGCGTTTTGCGCTTGTCAATGGTCCACGAATTCAGCAATTACGATCTTCTATTGCTCGATGTGAGGCGAGCAAACGCAATCGATGTCGGTTGCCACGTATTATGGAAAATTGAATGCCTTGTGGAAGGAGTTGGCCCATCATGAACCCCTGATAACTTGTTCCTGCTGTACGAATTGCAAGGCAGGTGAACTCCATGCTCAGAGAAGAGAAGCATCCAGATTACATGATTTTTTAATGGGGCAACACTCCGAATTTTATTCTCAATTACGGGCTAATATCCTCTCCCAAGACCCCCTGCCTTCTTTTGATTATGCATTCCATCTTGCGGTTCAAGATGAAAGAGTCAGACAAGCCAAAACACAACTTGAGAGTAAGTCCTCCGATGCGGTGGGCTTTGCTTTACGAGCAGAACCTTCGGTTGCTGGAAGGGGGCGTGGCCGTGGAGATCGTACCCCCTGTATACATTGTAAAAAGGTCGGGCATGAGTCAGCCTCTTGCTATTCGCTGCTCTTTTGCACCCACTGCAATAAGCGCGGTCATGATGTTAATGGCTGCTATGAACTTCATGGGTATTTAGAAGGATGAGAAGATTAGTCTCGTTCGGATGGTACGGGGCGTGGCCGAGGCTATGGGGTTGAGGTCGTGGACAAGCTCGGCTAATGCTACTTGGTGCATCTACTGGCAGCAATAATGGGTCGTCAACCTCGTCCTCTCCATCACAAATATTTCCTGCTGAACAATGGAAAGCAATTGAGGCAGTAGTGGTTAAAGTTAAGGTTCCGGAGAACAGATTGAATGGTAAGTTCAACAATGATATGTGGATAGTAGATGGTAGAGAGACAAATCGGTCGTTGGACAATCACCCTAAGCCAAACAATATTTCTACCTAAACCAACCTAGGACATGTCTAGGGTAAGTAGAGGATCGTATCCACAGGGAATGGGTAAAGAACACCAAGAGTATGAAACGGTTGTAAGCTAATTAGGTCACAAATTGGGGTTTAATTAGTTAATTTCTATAGAGACGAACGCTAGGGAAAACGAGATTCAATGCCAACCAAACCAAACAATTAATAACAAGGATAAATCATGAACATACATGGGTGGTAGAATAGGAACTTAACATTGTCTTCTTTCAAAGTCACAACATAAGTATTCCCTAGATCAAACACTAACACGAATAAGAGTAAGTCTCAATGATAGGAAGTGGGTTTCTAGCTCGAGTTTTGTCTCTCGATCGTTCCGAACTATCATGAAGCACAAATAATTGGGAATTCTCACCTAATTACCACACTAAAACATCCTATTCAATGGAACCAAAATATCCATAATCATGAAAGTAGCATAATCTAATTGCACAAAAAATGACTCACTACTAAACCCCATATTTCAATGTAAGTAAAGGAATGAACACATGAGCATGAAATGGCCACCAAAATACACATGCAATAATCAATTCAAGCACAAAGAGACATCAACCCAAAGTACAACATGAAGGAATCCAATTGATCAATCAACCATGACTTGGTTGGGTTTTCACCCAACCCCTAACTAAGGAACTACTCACTAAACATGGTGGAAAACAAGCTAACAATTAAATCTAGGGTTATCATGAATTCAAATAAACTAAGAGAGAGAAAAAAACAAGGATGGATTAAGCATGCAAGAACAATTGACAAAGATTAAACAAGAACTAGCATAAAACAAGGATAAAATCAGAAAATTAAACAACAAAGGAGGGAGAAAGAGATTACTAATTGATACTTTAGGGTTGAGAATGATTGTTGTTGAAATTGGTAGAACAAACTTCAATTAAATCTTACAAATGATTGTGTTTTTGAGAATCTAAATTAAGGGAGAGGAAAACTATGCACTAACTAAGAGAATAAGCCTAAGGGAGTTAAGAGAGAAGAAGGTTCGTACAAATGAAGCCAAGGGTGGTATTTATACCCCCCAAAACAATTACATAGGAAAATCCGTCAAGAAAACCGGATACCAGCTAGGAGCGCCCGCTCCTCAGCTCGGAGTGCCCGCTCCATATACTTGCACGCCCGGTCCCCTGCTCTTCAGAAAATTGGCAGATTCAAAATAACAAAGAGGAGCGCCCGTCCGCTCCTCGCAGGTCTCAAAACTTTGCAGATTGTTTGGGGAGATGAAAAAGTGCCCGCTCCACCAGGAGTGGGCTCTCCCTTCTTCTTTCTAGCTCCATCTCAAGTCCTTAAAGAGCTATTTTTGCGCTAAAGCTTCACCTACACCTGCAAGTCATGTACACAAACACACAAAGAGAGGGCAATGCCAAAAATGCAAGACTTATTTACAAAATGGGTTAGAAAGAGGGGAAAAGATTACAAAACGGGTTAAAATCACTACAATAAGTGGTCAAATAAACTACTTATCAGTGGACACAGGTGCAACACATCATGTGATTGAAATGAATCTTGGTTGTTTGATACAACTCATATTTCGATTGTCTGGTTGGTCTACCCAATGGTAACACTGTTTTAGCAGAAAAGGAGGGCTCGATTTGATTTCTGATACTATTGTTCTCACTCATGTTCTTTATGTCCCTCAATTAAGTTGTAATTTAATTTCGGTGTCTCAATTAAACGATAATTTGCATTGTACAGTTAATTTTACGTCATCTATGTGTGCTATTCAGGACCAAACGGGGAGGCTGATTGGAACGGGAGCTATACGGGATGGACTGTATTACTTCGGAGGAGTCATTTTGTGCAACATATTTCTGCAAATGGAGCAACGTCACAGTTGGCTTTATGGCACAAGCGCATGGGACATCCTTCAAAAGTGTAGTGAAGTTGCTTTCTCTTGATAATCTTAAGGGTAGCTTAGATAAGAATTGTGAAGTCTGTTATTGAATTAGGCTAAACATCCTAGAGATAAATTTCCTAGTAGTGATAATAAAGCAAGTCGTATTTTTGAGAAAATTCATTGTGATTTGTGGGGTCCCTATAGGCATGCTTCGTCTTGTGGGGCCTCGTTATTTTTTTACTATTGTTGATGACTTTTCTCGTGCTGTTTGATTTATTTGTGCTTCGTATTTTTTGAATTGTTGCTATGGTAGATCGTCAATTTTCACAATCAATAAAATTGTTCAAAGTGATAATGGGACAAAATTTAGTTGTTTGCATGGTTATTTCAATGCTACTAGGGTCTTATTCTATACTTCTTGTGTTGGTACGCCTCAACAAAATGGTAGGGTAGAAAGGAAACACAAACACATTCTCAATGTCTAGAGCCCTTCGATTTCAAGCCGGTTTGCCTATTTTTTTGGGGGGGGGGTGTGTATGCTTGCGGCTGCTCATTTAATTAATTGGACACCCACTCTCTTATTAAACAACAAAACTCCCTTTGAAATTTTGTTCGGTTTTCCTCCATCTTATACTACAATTCATACTTTTGGGTGCTTGTGTTTTGCACATAATAAAAAAACAAAAGGGGATAAGTTTGAGAGTAGGAGTCGTTCATTTGGCAAGAAGGGTTAGACTTTGTTTGATCTTGAAAAGAAAATTTTTTTTGTATCCCAAGATGTGAAATTTATTGAGAATGTGTTTCCCTTTTTAAACCCTAATGAGGTGAATATTGACCCTAAGAGGATTGTTTCGATGGAGAATGGTGTGCCTGTTGACCCGAATTTTGTTGATGATTATATAGCGCAAAATATGACTGCACGGGAACCATCGGACGATGGCATAGAGGATGACAAGTGTGGCCAAGGCATTGCCCAGCCCGCTGGTTATCTAGCGCCCGTTAGCAATGTTTAGCAGCCAGAGCAGCGAGAGATGGCTGGGCGACGCTCCAGCAGGGCCACGATACTGACCAGCCCACTGGAGAGTCAAAGTCAGCTGGGAGCTCATACCTGCAACAAATACGGTCAGCCTCGGAGCTAAATTCAGCAGCACAGCCGCAGCCTATAGTGCCCAATTCTCAGCAGCTTGGTCGTGGGTTTCGTGAGAAAATTCCTTCTGTTAAACTACAGAATTATGTTACTCACACCGTCATTGCAAACGTTCCATCCCCGCTACTCTCTTCTCCATGAAATTCCTCATACTCCCTATCCCATAGCACACTATATTAACTGTGACAATTATTATGCAAATTATCGTAATTTTCTGGCAGCAATTATTTCGGGTCAAGATCCGAAATCATTTCGAGAATCAATGAAGCATGAAGGGTGGAGAAAATCAATGCAAGAAGAAATTCAAGCCTTGGAGGACAATGGAACATGGACTTTGGAACCTCTTCCAACAGGTAAACGTGCTCTTGGTAGTCAATGGGTGTACAAGACAAAGTACCGTTCGAATGGTGAAGTTGAGCGATTGAAGTCAAGATTGGTTCTTTGGGGAAATCATCAAACATAGAGGATTGATTACAATGATACTTTTGCTTCGGTTGCAAAGATGACCACTGTTCGAGCTTTTCTAGCTATTGCTGCATCAAAGAATTGGGAACTACATCAGATGGATGTTCATAATGCCTTTCTTCATGGAGATCTTGAGGAAAATGTGTACATGAAACTGCCTCCTGGGTTTGAACATAAAAATTCAAATCTAGTTTTTCGATTACGGAAGTCGTTATATGGTTCAAGACAGGCTCCGAGATGTTGGTTTGCAAAATTGGTCGCAACTTTGAAAGGGTATGAGTTTCTTCAATCCTACTCTGATTATTCATTATTTACTTATTCTCAGGGTTCTGTTCAAATAAATGTGCTGGTTTATGTTGATGACATCATAATTTCTTGAAATGATTCCACTGCGTTGATTGCTTTCAAACCATATTTGTCTGATTGCTTTAAAATGAAAGATTTAGGCCCTTTGAAATATTTTCTTGGTATTGAGGTTGCTCGTAGTGCAACGGGTTTATTTTTATGTCAGAGAAAATACACACTTGATATTATCTCTAAGGTTGGTCTATTAGGAGCAAAACCGGCTGAGTTTCCCATAAATAGAACCATCGACTTGGCTATGCGAATGGTGCATTTTTTCAGGATCTAGAAAGGTATCGTCGTTTGATAGGCCGACTTGTATATCTTGTTGTGACTCGTCCGGATTTGGCATATTCCCTACACATTTTATCTCAATTCATGCAACAACCTCGAATAGAGCACTAGGAGGCAACTTTGAGGGTTGTTCGATATTTGAAGGGAACACCGCGGCAAGGGATTTTGCTTCGGGCGGATAATGATCTCACTCTTCAAGGGTGGTGTGATTCGGATTGGTAAGCCTGCCCACTTACTCATTGATCATTGATTGGTTGGTTGGTTTTCTTGGGAAAATCCCCTATTTCCAGGAAAACGAAGAAGCAACATACAGTTTTGAAGTCTTCTGCAGAGGCCGAGTATCGATCTATGGTGGCCATTACTTGTGAATTAAAGTGGTTGAAGGGTTTGCTGTTGAGTCTTGGTGTACATCATCCCAAGGCACTTCCTTTGTTTGTGATAGTCAATCTGTTGTTCATATAGCCAAGAATCCAGTTTTTCATGATCGCACGAAACATATTGAGATTGACTGTCATTTTGTTAGAGATGCAATTGAATATGGTACTTTGGCTCCTTTTTATGTGACTACAGATTCCCAGCTTGCAGACATTTTTACGAAGGCTCTTGGAAAGCGATAGTTTGATTCACTTTTGTCCAAGTTGGGCATTTTTTATCCTCACCATGCTCTAACTTGAGAGGGGGGGATGTTAGGATACTATATGATATTATTTGATTGGCATTGATTTGTATAGTTGGCATATTATTGGCATAGGATAGATTATAGGAATATTTAGTGGTTTCGTAAAGTCTATCACTGATTTCTTTTGTACGTTATATATTTTGCATCTCACATCAATAGAAAGCAAGCTTTGCCTCATTATTGTTTTACACATTGTTAGTGTTAGAATATTTGCTTCAAATTGTTAGTGGTTGGTTAACTTGAAAATAGTATAGTGCACCTGAGTGCACCATGCGGATGGTGCACCCGGTAAAACTAAAAGAGGTGGAAAAAACATACTAGTGTTTAAAAAAAGAACATGTTTGTGTTTAACAAAGAACATAGCCTTACAAAGAACATAAAATCTTTATAAAAAGAACATGATAATATATTAAAGAACTTGTTCCTTTTCATGGTTATTTTCTTACTGATAGGCGTGTCGTGTACCTAACAAAAATAACTTAACAAGACCACTACTATGTAGATAGGAAAGTAAGGATCGAATCACAAGAGACTATGGTTTGACTAATTAGACAGAGTCAAATAAATAATAAGCAAGTAACCAAAGTAATAGTGAGCATTAATAACTAAAAATAATTAAAACGATTAAATCTAAATAATATAATAAATCGAATGCTAAAAACATCCAAGATCAAGCATTACCACGAATACAATTAACGCAATAGTCGTTCTACCCCTAACATATAATTCAATTGATTAATGAGGAAAAGTAATCCCTAAATAATACCAATGGTCTCTCCCGAGTTATCAATGGCTTCTTTAATCACAATCAAGCCTACTTCCGTGGAATCATGTAAATCAAAGACTTTAACTTCCCAATCATCCATTCAACTACTCCCGTGATGAACTTCAAACCCTTAATTGATGTATTCAAACTCGTCAAAATCCAACTCCCGTTGCGATTAAAACAATGGATTAATAACAATACTAATTATCCCTAATCCAGTATTGGCTATCAATTAAGCGTATCAATTGCGATTATCATTAGAGAATTTAAAGAATTAAATCATGCATCAATCCTATTCAGGTTCCGCTAGATCTTGTAATAAGAAAACTACTCACACATAGTAATGAAAACAATAACAAGAATTGAGAAAAACATAATTAAAAATCAAAGGAATTAAAGAGAATAAGAAAATACCGAATCTTGAATTACTAGAGATAAACGAAGAATCTTTAGTGCATAATCTTGAATTACAATGAAAATAAAGTCTAGAGAGAAAACTAGGGTTCTAAGATGATAGATATTGAAATTATAATGCTAAAGAGTATTCATAAAAAAGTTAAAAGATAGGATAAAATAAGGAAACAAATCGGATGAAAATCGATCAAATTCGTCAAGGCATGGGCGTGCCACACAAGACGACATGCCCGTGCCTAAAGTCAGAAACAATTTTTCTTCAACTTCCAGCGAGACATGGGCGTGTCTAATTCTGACATGGGCACGTCTCGCTCGGCCAACTCCACTCGACAAGGCATGGGCATGCCTCAAATAGACACGGGCATGCCTCAAATAAAACTTCAAATTCAGCTTTCTGCCTCTTCAAAACACAATGACATCCCATGCCCTATGTGACATGGGCGTGTCTGGCTGGGATTTGGCTTCTTTCCGTTTCAACATCAAACATTAGCCTTTAAAATGAATTGCTAGCCATGATCAAGATCCTTAACTTTGTAAATCCTTTCAATAGCCTCGTTGAATACTGAAATACATCAAAAACAACAAAACTACCCATAAAAGCATCTAATGACCACAACCAAACCAAATCAAGCCAAAATAAGCTATGAACGACTAATTTAGACTCAAAATCTTCCTAAAAAGACCCTAAAAATATGCACAAAACACAACTTATCAGTTACTCACGTGGTTAAATGTGTTTGAAAAAGAACCATATGTTTGACAAAAGAACGTGTTTGTGTTTGACAAAGAATATGGCATTACAAAGAACATAAAGTCTTTACAAAAAGAACATGATAATACATTAAAGAACATGTTCTTTTTCATGGTTACTCAGGTGGTTGAATTAACATTTTTTTATGTACATACATAAAAAATATATTGTATAATGTAAAGAACATATAGTTCAAAATCAAAGAACATAATGATCAAACTCAAAAAACATATTATGCTCGCATTCTTTATAAATGTCTATAATGTTCTTTTTTCGCCCATGTTCTTTAAAGTATGCCTAATGTTCTTTCCAGGTGCACCATGCGCATGGTGCATCCGAGTGCACCAACCACGCATTATTGTTAACTCCCAATGTATAGGAATACGCTCACTAAGTAATTAGTTTGTGTTAGTGGAGTCTTAAGTGTAGTAGGTTTATTAAGTGGGTTAATATTAGCATAATATAATGATCACGGGATCATGTTCCTCACTTTTAGCTCAGTTTTCACTATATATATGTTACTATATAGTACGTTTTTCAATGGATTGAATACAACTTTATATTTTTCTTTCCCCTCCCTCGTCTGTATTTCTTAAATTCAACAGGGTGTACTTTGGACTTTGGAGGGGATGGTTTGGACTAAGAACCCAGTTATTAACTTTATGAAAATTGGCAATAAAATAGACAGGTTAATTTAAAAACATGAGAGTAGTTACATACATTAGATAACTGATTAACAAAAATTAAATGAAAACCAGTACAATGTCATTGAAAAAATAATCGATACAATACGTTACAATAGAAGTCAGAAAATTAGAAAAACGAATGAAAATGGAAAATGAGTAGAAATTAGCAAGACGGAGGGAGTAGAAAGCTCTTATAAAATATATAAAAGTAATAGTACTACATGAAACCAGTGTAAACTTGTAGTACAGTGAGAATAAGTAGGATGACTAAATATATAACAGATGTGATTGACCATGGATGATTGAAGTAGTTCCTCCTCAAAATAGCCTTCCATTTATTCCGCTTCTTGGAAGCAAAGGCAATTAACTTATGACAAACTTCATTGTAATAGAAGTTACGAGAATATATCGATATGTGCTTGACTATACTATTGATGACAGTCGCGACTTGCTCATCCGTCCCAAGCCAATGCTCGATAATATTGCTCTTCACTAGAATTTGCACATCTTCGGGAGAATCAATCAAGTCATCAAAAAATATCATGTAATCTATAAAGTAAGAATCGAGATGATAGTGGCTTTGTTCGAAAAATATGATGTTGCGGAAGATGGCTTCAGTGATATCTTGAATGAACAATTTTGGAATCTTCAACTTACCTTTCGAATATGTAATATCAAGCTGTTTATCACCGTCAATTGCCACAAATGTTACTCCGGCCGCTTTCAACTCTTTGGCAGTCATAGGATACTTAATGTGTTCAGTGGTGTTGTAGTTTTGGCCAACCTCGCGAAGTTTGGAAGGCAAGTAGTAGATCCTCAAGAAATCAACTAGATGCTCGACGTTCATTTCTTTGTCTATTTTATTCCCTCTTAATGTTGTACTTACAGACTTTTTGCTAGATAAACCGAATTCGCTATTTATATAATTATAAGTAAGATCCATGAAAGAAACTAGAGGGTAGAATGCCCCAAATATGGTACTGAATAGATCATTGAGAACAAAAAAAGGGAGCTGATTTTCTACGAGAAATAAATCTCGATTCATTTTAGCAAAAAATCCTAGCTTATTTCTAATGTCATAATTTTCACATGGAATTTCATCGCTGATGAATATAAATAAAGAGATGATGAATGCAGCATCGATCATTAGCATTTCGATGAACTCGTTGCTAGAAAGATCTATTTTGTTTTGATAGTAAGCTCGAGTTTTCTCCTCCATTCCTTTTATGATGTTGTACCATTCTTGTAAACCATAATTAAATTGGCTAATAAGGTTTAGGAAGAATATAAAATCCCTTAGTTTTATCTCTTGTGAATGTTCTAAGGATGTGTTTTTATAGTAGATAGGACCAATTGAAACCACTAAAGGCTCATAACATTCTTTCTTAACCAACCGAATATATTCAGGCACCTTAATGAAGCTAGAGGGAGATGAGGGCATCAAATCAATCTTGCGCCTTATTGAAGCTACCACAACCTTAAATTGATCCGTCGCCATTCTGTAATTGGAAAAAGAAGGGATAAGAGTTACTATTATTGAAAAAATAAATGTAAATTGGCGATGCTATGATACTTTTGGTAAAGGTGATTGATGAGAAAACATGTGTAGTGGGAACCAAAACTTTTTTATAGTTTTTTTTTGAGAGAAATCGAGTTTTATAAATAATCATCAGCATGAAATTTTGTTTCATATGTAAATATTAACTTTTTTATAATGGTCTCTTTTTTTGGTGTTTAGAGAGTCATATGGGCAGGTGATGAGAATCAATTCCAAGATCTCCTGAAATCGAGAAGGGAGCTCTAACTGCTTGAGCTATACCTCACTCTCTTATAATGGTCATTGATACATAATTAAATTTATATTAGTACATTGGTGCTTGGTCATTGATCGATCCAATGTAGACAAAATAAGTTTTGTTAAATACAGTAAATATAATTAAGCTCAAACACACTCGCAAATAAGTTTAATTTGTCATAGAGTTCAAGTATATCAGTAGAAGAGAATAGATTCTTAGAGACAATGCAAGAAGTATTTCTATTGTTTAACAAGTTGTATCACAGAGAGTACATCTTAAATAAGTAACGAAGGGGTACTACTTGAATTTGCGTTGAGTATGTGTGACAAATTATGGCCGAGTCCAATATGATGATATAAATTACATGAATGCGAATAAATGCAATGACTAACAATTATTTTAAAAAAAAAAATTAGGAAGTGTAATTGTATAAAGAACAAGCACAAACTTACCCTCAAATAAAAAGGTTGTTGAACCAGAGCAAAGGACCAGAGAAGATGAAAGAGAAGAGTAACTGAATTCTGAAAGTAAGCAAATTAAAGAGGAGTTGCATGCATAAACTTAAATTCTTTCTGTCACATTTATATGACACTTAATTCAACAGAAGTAAAAAAAAATATTGCATGTAACACAATTAAAAAAAAAGCCCTAGGTATTGGTGTTATCAACTATATTACAACAACCGTTGACTATATTATTATTATTATTATTATAAAAAATTTCAAAAACCTACAGAGTCAAAAAAATTACAAGAAATTAGTGGGGAGCCGAGATATAATCTGGACCTCCCTCCCTCTAGCTATAGCGAACCCGATCTTGCTGAAGATGTGACCAGCTGCACGAGCACCAATATTCTGAGTCCTAACGAACGCCTGAACCCGCTTCAGCAACGCAACATCCTTTTCTAATTCCCCCAATGAAGAAAAGGAGAAAGGAAGACAAAGCTCGGGGATCATTTTATTAAAGGAAAACAACTTAAACAATGCCAAGATCATTGACTATTACTTCAATCAATTTGCTGATGTATAACTTTTTCATCAAATAACATTGTAATTGTCTACAACGATAAAAGATGAGAGAGTTAAATTAACCATTTTATAAGGCTGAGGCCATTCCTATTGCCATATGATATTAGGATAAACCATACTCCGTATTAGACTTAGCTTGTGATGATGTGACTTTTCCGTTTCACCAAAGTTTATTCAACCAATCACAACTTACCTGTTTTGCAATTCATGGAAAGTCTCACTTACCATTTTTTATTTTTTTTATTATGTAAACCAAACAAGCACTTATTGTAACTTTGTAAGGGTCTAAAATATTACACATTACACTTTAATTACACTTTGGTTGTATTCCATTCACATGATTTTCACCTCTTTGGATCTATCTTAATTTATCTGAACTTATTAAAACTTATTTTAGTTGTAATTTGAACTCAAGTAACCCACATCAAAACTTATTTTTCCTAAACCAAATGCATCTAAACTTAATTAGACTTATTAGACATAAAATAAGTGAAAATAAGGTGACAAAATAGGCTCTTTATATTATTTCCTTTTTTCAATTTGGTTTACATATACGGTGAAATGTTATTAGCCATATCATTTGATGAAATAGGACCATATATATTTGAACAATTTTTCTTCCTCCACTCTTTATTCGTAATAACATGCCCTTTTGGCACGCATTTAAAGAAAAATATTTAAGAGTGTAAACAAACAAATTACTATAGTACCAAAGGGTATATTGCAAGTAATATATATGGAGCATATTAAGTATTCCCTTCGTCCTTAAATTATAAGTCGGTATTTCATTTTTGGGTAACCAAAATTACAAGCTTATTTCTATTTAAGGTTGTACTTTTTGACAATATTACCCTTTTTTTGATAATTTGCATTGTCATCCTTTTTATTTTCTTTTTTAATTTGTACTTTTGACATCAATTCCTACATTTTTTTCTTCATCTCTTTAAAAATTCCCAACCACTTTTTCTTTCTCTCTATCTCTCTAAACCCACTAGCATATTTGTAATCTCAATCAACTTCCTTAATTCCCATCATAAAAAACCCAAATAAGCTTGTAATTTAAGGAAGGAGATAGTATTAGATTTAGATCATATTAAACTACTTCACTTTTGGTGACAATAAAATGTCCTTAAGTAGGCCCTCTTTAGCTTACCTCAATTCTCATGATTTGATTAAAACTTGTCTGGTTTAAATAATTTTGATTTTTACTCATTCTTTCTAATCTAATCTTAATTCATTTTTCTAAAATAAGGCTTGGTACACATTACCTTATATTTCCTCTAATGTCAAGCTAAATTCATAAATTAAGAAAAATGTTAATAAGTTCGTAAACAAGTTAAGGAAAAGTGTGTTTACAGAAGTCGAGATAGATTTTGATAGATTTAGATTTATAAGGAGTTATCCAAGTTCAATTTATAATTAATAAAAATATTTCATACGAGTTTTATTTGGTTGTTCAAATAAGTTCGAAGTTAAATTAAGTACTTAAAAATTCATATAAGTAAAGGGTTACTCGATTAGGGATTACTCAATTAGTGTTTTGGTACGTGACATGCGCTAATTGTAATAATAGTCTTCAAAATATTAAAAACATTAATAAAAATAAGAAATTTTCTAGCCAAATAAATGCTTCTTTATACAAAAAAATGAGGGAAAATTCCCTTTACAAAATCCAATTTAGTATAGAATTATAGATAGCAGACCTTCTTGTGTGTGGCTAGCCACACAGTGTGATATGTGGCCGGTTATAAAAGAACAAAGTAATCCCTATAACACTAATCGAGTAACCCCTATAATACTGACTAAGGAACCCCTATAATGCTATAACAATGATCAAGTAACTCCTTCAACACTGACCGAGTAAAACCCCTGTAACACTGACTAAGTAACCCCTGTAATACTAACGAAGTAACCCCTATTATGGATGGTCACACGGTGTGACTAGCCACATATAAGAATTTGTGAATAGATAGATAATACTCCTACCGTGTTAAAATAAGTGAAACGTTTTGACTTTTAGTATTATTCATCTAATTAACTTTGACTAATGTTTGTTATTTACACATAAGAAATAGATATAGTCTTGTGGGTAATTGTTGGAATCGTCTCAATAAATAGTTTATTAATATTCAATTGTTATAATTTTTACTTATTAATAATTAAAGATTTTATCAGTCAAAGTTTTACATTAACATACGTACACGTGTATCAAAAAAGTGATTCACTTATTAAACACGGAGTGAGTGATTTAGATCATAAAAGATCGCGATTCTCCCATTGACTCCGTAATAAACAAGTACCAAGTACTATTTTATTCGTAGTCCAAGTCTTTCATCATAAATCAATAGTTACCAAAGCCTCGATATGATCGAGCCTTTGTTTCAGCTTAGATAGTGGATCTTTTCACTCCACACTTCAGATCCAAAAAATTTACGAGTATCATTTTTAAAACACTTATTACATTCTACTTGTAATAATTAATAGAAAAATTCTTTTTTTTTGATAAAAAAAAAAAATCTCCCAATCAATGCACAAAATTAAATTTTTCTATGTTGACTTTTCCCCAAACTGTCCTAGTTTAATAATCCTTTACGACAACGGTGTTAACAAACCAATAAGTCCCGTCAAAAAAATTAAAAAAAGTAAAAATCATGTACTGTAATTAAGAATTGGTAACACTAAGGTGTAGCTGTCCTGGTGAAATTTACCTTATAACTTTAAGGTCGAATCCTCCTAGTTGCAATACATAAGAGTGATGATTTCTTATCTTTTTCCCTCACTTTTAAGTACCCGGTCACAAATACGAAAATTTCAGGTACAGAAAAAAAACATAAGCTATTATTTGCCATAGTAGCGAGGATGTGCGTTGGTTGAATTGGCGTGTCTTGCTGCAACTTTGCTTCCTTTTATTTGCTAGTAGGAGATAGCCTTCGTAAAAATTACTAGTATGTAATGTAATTCCTTCTCTCTCTTTTAATTTTAAAATTGAATTAACATTTAGATCTAGCTAGTGCACATATTATAACATTAATACTTAAAGTTATATATGTTAGGAAATAGAGGTGTAATTGTATTTGATTAATGCGGAACAAGTCAATGAAAAGTAGGAACGAGAAAAAGCAATAAAGAAGATAAACAAATAACACAAGAATTTACGTGGTTCGATCAAATTAGACCTACAATCCACGGGTGGGGGATTTGAGAGCTTCTTCACTATAATGGAGAATGTAACACCCCAATAATTCTCTCTTTAAAAACCTGTAAATACCTTTAACAATTTGCAAGAAAATTACTGATGTGTTACCGCCACATGTTCAAACGTTAAGGCTAGTTCAAAATTTAGCAGCGGAAAAACTAACTCGGTTATCAATAAGTTTCAAAACCAAATTTAGTCTTACAAGTTGGAACCATTAAGACCCTTATTCAAAACCCAATAAAAGTAGTAAATAAATCAATCAGTAAATTAAATCCAAACTTATGAAATAAAATAAACTGTGAAAATATCCAACACTCCACTCAAAATCCCACCACCTTGATGCAAGTTCTGATTATGTTAAAAACTGTGATTAATCTACTCCCCAATATTACAAGTGTAAAAATTGGATCATTACAGGGTCATTGAAGGGCGAAGGCCATGACCAAGAAAAAGACACACAAAAGCACACAATCAGCACCGTTGAGTACATACAAGCTACAAAATATATCAAAGAGTCCCTAACATGTTACTAAAAATAAATCATCACACACAATTTAATTATTGACTCTAACACATGCCTCAACCTATTAACATTACTAAGACTTCACTAATCACTAACAATAATTCATTTCATTTCATTAATTGATTGGATTAAGCAATAGACCAGGTTGTCCCCCTATGCTCCATTTCGGAACATTAATAAAAGAAAACCCTATGCCTCCTTTCGGAAACATTAATAAACATCCAATGGCAGACGGGCGCGATTCTGTGGTCATAGCTAGTATAAGATCTCATCTAACTCCTTCTAGTATAAACAAGAGACTCGTAGATCAGACAGCCTCTAGAAAGTACACAGCTAATACCCCGTGAACCCCAACCCTTGATTGTCAATACTCTAGATGTACACGAATCTAGAGTTTTATTGCTCATCCTTCTTACACTTTACGTGATTTACTAGTTTAAACTTGGTGATGACTCAGATGCAAAACAATACAACCAATCATACATCAATCATTCAAACATTCCAAGCTTCCAACACCATTCTTAATTTATTAGTGACAAACAATTATTTATTATTGAATCCTTTAACTATCAAGGTGTATAAACACCTTAAGTGCATAAGGCACCTCAAATCAGTAACCTCGTCTTATAAGACTTTAAATCTCCCTTTACTCATTTCATTTCATTAGTTATGAATGAGTAATAAAATAATTCATTCCACATATTCACGTACCTTTGCCTATAAGCTCATCTTGTAAGTTAATGCATAAATAATGCTTACAAGATAAATTAATACGCAATTCTCATACATGAAACAAAACCAATCATCACATTATTCACCAATCAAACTTACTACCATACAATTCCAACCAATCCACAAGTTTCCTAACATGATTCTAAGTCTTCCAAGTCCTTAAACATGCTTCTAGAGTCAAGGTTTTCGTATCTTTGTACGTACCTTGAGTAAACGAGTTGGTTGGCCACTTTAGGAACTAAAAATCGCCTTCTACAAAGTCCACTCCTAAACCAAAACAATAATAATTCAATCAATACCCTAGCAATATAATTTACAGCAGTACTAACTTACTTTAAAACCCCTTAAACTATTGAAATAATGCTTTTAAATTACTCACAATAGTCAAAGTTAATAATTCAATAGTTTAACTATAAGTCTATATGTTAAAATCATGAAAATATAGCTTATAACATAAAATTCAAGCAACTTTAAAGTAAGGATTATAATCTGGAAATTTAATTTAAGAATATAAAACAACCTCATAAACATCTCTTCTAGAAATAATCATTAAGTAGTAGGTTAGTATGTTAAAAACCTAAAAATCCATCATAAAACCATGATTTAAAACCTTTAAAACCAAGATTAAAAATC